CTGTGCATTAGAACAACGCTTTGTGCCTGCTGCACTAACACTGTGTATACCGTCACCGAGAGCTTGAATTCTGGATGCGCCAATATGCAGGAATAGACACGCTGCAAATACTCTAGCATGACAGCTTCATTCACTTCCTACACCGATTTTATAATATTTTACACAAATATATTAAGATAAACATATAAAACAAAATATACAATAAATACCCTTTCAATTGTCAACATCTGATTTCTTTGGGCTCGCAATTCTGAAATCAATCTTTCACGAAAATGCAGAAACCAACCTCTAGTTTCGCGTTCTAATATTCCTATCAGTACCGGAACTGCTCGTTTCATAATGTCGCGACTAAATAACCTTAAATCTACTTCTTGACCTTTAAGGTATAAACATGAATATTGTATTGTATAAAATCAAAGTTTTATATTAAAAATTAATTTGTTTACCATTGGGGGTTAAATACAAATATGGCACAGAAACGGGAGCGTGCGAAGATTCACGTTCTACTTCAAACTTTTCAGTGGCGGCACGACGAAGTGTCTTCTTATAAAACTACAAAGGCGCTCCAATGTTCCTTCAAATTCGGACTGCAATTGAATAATTTATCCAATTACCAAGCGTTCGATCATAAAATAATGAGTTCACTTAATTTTATTGAATGATAATAAATGAAAACTAGTACATTCGGTACTGATTTAAAATCAATCTACCAACAACTCGGTGTCTCATTCTGACAAAACGCACCTGCCGTAAACATGATATTATTGTGTGTTATGCAATTTGTTTGATATGACTTTCTGTGTATATTGAAGAACTACATTACAATAAAATGCTAATTTATTTTCAGCAGTATGTTGAAGTTTGAAGCAATTTCCAAAACACATAGCGCGTTGATTCCATTGTCGTTATCATTAAAATAATATCATAGAAAAGTGTAATAAGCATATAGTGTTTTTTATATGTCTCTGTATTTTTTGTGAAAATTTTGCTTTGATAAAAAAGGTAAACATTTTTTTTGAAATAACTAAAAGTAAATATTGAAAAGAGAACACTGTTTTATCATGTAATAAGTTTATTCTAAGAACGAATTTAATTTTTGAAATTTTATGGCGGGCCGCACTTATAAATAATAATTAACAAAGCTTGATATATACTGATAAGCATCAAAAACAAAAATACTTAATTAAAGAAGAGTAAGTATTACATAAATTAAAGCAACAAAAAAGAATATATTATAATTAATATATTGATGAAAAAATGTTCACGAAATAAATAAAATTCTACTTAAAAATGCTTGACGAGCCGCAGAAAAATATTTAAAGATCGACGCTTTAATACGAATCATTGTGTATACAAATTACCAAGGAGACAGACGAGCGCATAGACAGAATTACGTTGTTCTTTCAAGGAAACATCCGAGTGGAAAGGGTTACCAATTACTTATTTCTAATAAATATTAACTTCTCACAAGTATATAATCTTCTCAAAATCATTTCAAAATTATTTTGACACCCTTATTTAAAGCACATACCCGACAAATTAATTCCGCTACGAGATAACGGCATCTTTCTTCTCGAATTTTAGCTTCAAGGTTATGAGCTTGAAGCGATGGCACTCCTAAAAATACAAAATATTAGTTTATAATTGAATCTACAATTTTGTAAAAATTATTTTTCTTATAGAGTAGATTTTAACTGCAAATTATATTCTACAGACCCGAATAAAAACTTTAGGAAGTTGTTTGACATTTGAGAGTATTCCAGTGCCCGTAAAGGAAATATAAACCTAGTCCACACCTGAAACATGCATGCATTTTGCTAAAAAAATATCTAGAAAAGAAAAGATATGTAGCTTTGCTACTGTGCCAACAGCAGTAACTTAACGATTTTTGAAAAAAAAAACACATCTGAATCACTTTTTATTCTATATCGTTGCTGTTTTGGAAACACGTGTTTAATCATTTAATTTAAATACTGATCTCTAAGTAAACATAATAAAAGCATAAAACATATATATATATATATATATATATATATATATATATAGACATATATATACATATATATATATACATATATATACATACACACACATATATATATATATATATATATATATATATATACATACATATGAGTGAGTTCTTGAGGGCGATACATCAAACAAAGAAAAGCCAAAGATTTATAAAATAATCTTTATTTCCAAACGTTTCGACATTCAATTTAATGTCATCATCAGTGGATATTACGTTGGTTGGTTACATCTAGAGAAGTGTACACAACACTAGAGATTGGCACTAACATTTATACAACTAACTTGTCAACACTATGCATTTTTTATAATTTTTTGTATGATGTAAACAGAAAAATGATAGTTTTATTTGAACAAAAATGTAAGTAGAATTATGTAATTTTTGATACATGCCTCGATACTCGCAAAGTACAGAAGTCGTGGCAGAAATTACATAATTCTACTTACATTTTTGTTCAAATAAAACTATCATTTTTCTGTTTACATCATACAAAAAATTATAAAAAATGCATAGTGTTGACAAGTTAGTTGTATAAATGTTAGTGCCAATCTCTAGTGTTGTGTACACTTCTCTAGATGTAACCAACCAACGTAATATCCACTGATGATGACATTAAATTGAATGTCGAAACGTTTGGAAATAAAGATTATTTTATAAATCTTTGGCTTTTCTTTGTTTGATGTATCGCCCTCAAGAACTCGCTCATATATTTCAACTTCAAAATTAACTACTAATCATATATACATATATATATATATATATATATATATATATATATATATATATATATATATATGTGCGATGCATGCAAAAAATGCGGGCGCAAGCCTTAGGGGGCGCCAAAACGAGTTTCGGAAATTAAATTTATAATATAATATTTATATTTTTTTATATAAAATCTAGAATTATTTATTTAAAATCTAGAATAGTTAATAAATTATAATAAATAATTTAACTTGACTAGTGATACGGAGACACAAAATGCATATTTATTTTGCAATCTGATATCAGTAGAAACAATTAACAATTAACAATTAGCTCTGTTTATTGCTTAATCTACTTATTCAATTTTTTCTTTGTTTGAAGTTACCGTGGAATCGAAAAAGAAATTATCTAGTGTTCAATCCCATAAGCGCAAACCTGCGAAAGATTAAATTAATTGTTGGGCATTATTGATGAAAAATTGCGAGCTGATTTAGTTGAATCGGAACTTGTTAAAAAATATAAGCAAATTATAAAAAATGGGGAGTCAGTGCTTAGAAAATGACTTGTTTATTCCGAGAAATTGAATTGTAACTTTTGCTTTTGTTGCAAAAGTTTCGCATCTGTTGAACTTTGAATGTTGAAGACATGTGTGGAACAAACATGAAAAATGGAAGCAAAATTAACTTTGGAACAAAAATCTTAAGGCTTGTTTTATACCTAGTGGTGTCCATACTCTAAATTTAATAATTATTAATTATACAGAAATAATACATATCAAATATAATAAGTTGTTCAAGAAATGTGTAATTTCTTTACATTTTTTACTGATTTTTGAACATTACTTATAAAATACGTTAAAAGTTTAACTTTAAAACAACAAGCAGATACTCTGAATATGACGGCTCTTACGATATCAATAAGGAGAAGTTTACGACGCAATTTTGGATATTGTAAATGATGAAAAATCAAATTAAATTAAAATTTATAAAATCCAACATAAAATACGCGTGTTATGTTTGAAAATTAAATGCTAGTTTTTTTAAATATTAATATTGCACATACGTTAAAAATGATTGAAAATTTCAAAATACTTGATTATAATCAACCCCCGAATCGCCTCGATTTTCTAAATAAATTTAATATCAATATATTTTATATCCTTCTAGATTATATCTAATTTTTTGTGTACTAAATCCAGAATAATTAAAAATTAATTTTTAAAAAATCTGTAAATATTTATATAATTTTAATGATAAACTGTTAAAACGGTAAAAATTAATAGGGGGGAGGGGGCGCTAGAAAAAAAGTTGCATGCGGGCGCTAAGGACCCCAGGACCGGCCTGTATATATATGTTATTAATTCATCGAACTGTTCAATATAAAAAATGAATCGGCCGATCCATTACCCAAGCTAATACCGATAACTATTGTTTTTTTGTATCTACCTAAAATTTATTTAGAACACGCAAGAAAATATACTTTTTGCTAATAAATACATGATCTTACCGATCCGTGTAATAAGATCGTGTAATCATTAGTAAAATGTATATTTTCTTGTGTGTTCTTAACTAATTTTAGGTAAATTACAAAAAGATAAAGATATCAGATGGGCATTAGTCTGGGTAATGGATTGGCCGATACATTTTTTATAGTTAACATATGGAAGCACGTTATAAAATTTCACCAAATAGTTTTAAATTTTGAAATTCAACGACAGGAGCCTGAAATAATATTTATTATTATTGATTACGGCTTGCTTATGAATAAATAAATAAATAAATAAATAAATCGGTGAAGCGGCATGCACGTACTTTTCGAATTTTTGAATCGAACTGTTTAGACTATCTTAAATCTCCAAGCTTACATAAAATTAGCGAATAGGATTTTTAGATTAAAGATTAAATGTTTCTTCTTCGGGATGTTAATTGTGATACCACCTATTAGAAGTGATACTAAAAGTTATCGCTTAAGTAGCTGCATAATGGAATATATTTCTAAAAATTAATTAAATGATTATTCTATTACCGTTTCATTTAAAATAAAAATATATTTAAAACAATAGAAAAACCTCCTACCAAAAATTAGATCTAACAGCTTCAGAAGACCACGGCCCATGGCTTTCAAGGCTTCTTTGATTGAGAAAAAACTACCCCAAATTCTCTCTCTGGCAGTTATTACCAACAATCTTGCAGCAAGAGCCAAATCCGAATCTAAAGTTTCGCGAGCCCTCGCCGCGCCCCCTTGTAGTAATGGTGAAAGACGCCATTTGTGCTTCTGATCCGGGAAATTAAGGGATGGTACCTCAAATTCTCTGCAGGATATAATATTATTATTTAAATACATATAAGTAAAATAAATATGATTACTAAATAAACGCCAACAAAAATATTTAAAACACAAATTATTTTAAATTCATTAAAAATCATATCAGTGAAAACAATCAGTAGAAGGAAGGAAGTTCATCAATAAGAAATAACAATATAACAAAAACTGGAAGTAAATAAAACAATTAAAATAAAAGTAAATAAAAAATAAAATTGAATTCGCAAAACATTAAAAACTGTTGAGTGTGTTACTAAAACGTAATATATTAGCGATTTTTAACTAGTACAATTCAAGTTTTGATCAAAAGAAACAAGCAAGATGTAACAAGTACATAATTAATAAAATTGTAGTTATTGTATAATGTTACAATCAAAGCGAGGATTAATACAGCAATTTATATTATTTCAGTGCTTTTATTTAACTTTTAAGCATTCAATCAAAATTAGCAAAGAAATCGCTCCAAATGGTGCAGCAAACAACAATCAAGATTAAAAATCACTTTTTGATACGCTTATTATGTATATTATAAAATAATAAAACACACTTTAATTGTTTTCGAATTATTCATGTCATCCTTCTGTAAATTAGCCTATGTAAGACAAAATATCCTATAAGAAAGACTATTAAAAATCCTAATAATGCAATTATTACCCATAAATGAATTGCTATCCAAATAAGATTATTCGATTGTTGATACTTTTACTTGAAAAATATGCAATACAAGTATGTTTGTAGACAACTGAACAAGCAAAGCAAATAAGTAAAAAAAGTTCCCACTAAAAATAATTTAGCATAGAAGCAAAAATGATACTAGTGCAAACATAATATTTTAAGTCCGATATGTGGTATTCTTTTCAAGAAAGGTATAAAACACTTCACACTATAAATAATAAAATGTAACATACATAAATAACACATTTAACCCAATTAAAATATAGTTCATTAATAATGGATTATTATTTAAACAAATCACAACCATAAATTCTTCTACATAATATTTTCAAAGGTGCATAAGAAGCATAATAAATAAATAAAAACAAAACTGCAATTGTGCAGAAAAATTTCTGCGCTGAATCTGATGGTTAAAAATATTATGTAAAAGATTTATACAACATTTTCAAAGTAAATTCAAGTCCAATAAAATTTACCCCCATTGTCGGATATTTTCCAATTGAGCCTCATTTAATTTCTTCGGTTTTCCGAGTTTATCCTTATGCAAGCTTTACAGAAAGAAATAAAATTTTTAACACAGCTTTTATTATCGTCGATTATTTTATAACGCAATCGAGACATAATACTCTATCAATTACACAGATATTTTATGTTATAGAAGCAGAATAATTTAATTCAAGAATAACCACAGATATTCTATGAACCATATCTATATACAAATTTTTATAGATTTTATTTTCAAAATCTTCAATTAGGAAAATCATCTCATGTAACATATTTGTGAAACATGCAAAATATATATATTAAATTCATTTCCAGCAATTTTACTTATACTGTGCTTTCGTTCAATAAACCAGTATATATTGTAATTTACGTATATTTTATGAAAATAAATTTATATATAAGTGACTAATAAAAAACAATAAATTCTTCCGTAATACGAGAAAAATCAATAAAACTTTAGCAGATAACAGCAACTGTAAATTTATTTCTGTGAACAGGTATTTATACAAAAACCTTATTCTTTTCTATTACATTTTATTGATACTACATATATTTTAAATTAACATTTTATAAAATACGAATATAATATAAGTTAATAATAATTAAATGAACTATTTTAAATATTTAATAATATATATTAATACTTCAATTATTAACAATATATAATGTATAAATAAATACCCCTAACTAGCTCAAATAAAAATAGTATGAACTTGTTCTGCACCCAATTATTTCATTCATGGCAGTTACCAGTGTACGTCAAATTTTGCTTATCAATATACTGTTTATTTCATAATTAATTAACAAAACCAGTTTTCCTTTTGAATTATAAAGTTTCAAGCACTTTATTTTTTTGCATAATTGGGCGTCCATTAATCACGTGAGGCTTTTAGGGAAAGGCGGGATTGACAAATACACAAAATATCACTTGGGGGGTAGGGAGGGGTCTAGCAATGATTTTTTCGTGAATTCGAAATGCAGAACTAAAAATACACGTGATGTTTGGTGGGGAAGGAGAGATAATTTTAAATATCACAACCTATCATCAAGAGGGTGGTCCCAAAATCCCTAAAAAAATCGATCACGTTATTAATGGACGCCCCTAAGCTTAAGATTTTGTGAGGTGACCCTGTCGTATAGTATATTATCATTTTTGTACTTTCCATGCTACGATGTAGTATTTAAATATAATGTATCCTAAAAATAACGGCAAATAAGAACAATTTAAATATGTACACTTGCTACTACAATTAATTTGTTATTATTAAATATAATTGCACATAAAGCAGAAAAGGCAAACTATTAATATGTTATAAAGAAAATATGATGCAAAGACAGATTCGTGCTGAAAGTTTTTGTATTTTTTTTGTTATATATATATATATATATATATATATACATACATATATATATATATATATAATGTGTGTGTGACAATGTGTGCGTGTGCGATGGTGTATATGACGATTTAAAGCTTTTAATATCTCTCTGAATTACCAACACATTAAGACTGGTACATTAAATATTATCATGAGATTAATATGAATCATTTTGCAATATTAATTAAATGCTGCTGGTTAATTATCTCAACTAAAATATTAACCCAAACAAGATAAAATAAATCTATTTCTCAATTTTGAATTATTAATATAAAATATTATTTCTGAGTATATCAACTATCAATACAATTGAATTATAAGTGAAACACTTACCCCCTTTCCTTGATAGCCTGAAGCTGAGTCTTGTTTAAGAACCTTGGCTCACCTTTGCCATCAGATGCCACTGCGTCCAATTCATCGAAAGGCGGAGTCACAAACAAGTCCCTAAGATGCAAGGCCCTTACCCTGCGGCCAACTGATCTTTCTTCCGACTCACTGATAGGAGCTCGAGTTGATAAGGGCGTTGGTAGAACTGAGAATTCATGGTGATATAACAGGTGTAAATTATGATTGCATGACAAATGATATAATGCATTAAGTTAGTAGGATATAAAACAAAATCGACGAAAAACGAAACTGGGTGTAATTGTGTTGAATGATGTGTTAATTTAACCAGCATTATTATATTTTTCTTAAAGAAATTGGTCGGGTTGGTTATCAATAATACACTTACCAAAGTAGATCATTGAAAGTAGCATTGAAAAAAATACTAGTATGTTCGCTTAATTAGTTATTTCAAATATTATACGCATTTGCGGTTTGTGATTTACATTTAAAACAAAAACAGGTTTATACTAGCTAACCAGTTACAAAGTTATATAACAAATGTTAATTAAATGTAATATAAGCGCAATGTACCTTTGAGTTGCAAAGTTATATAACAAATGTTAATTAAATGTAATATAAGCGCAACGTACCTTTGAGTTGCAAAGTTATATAACAAATGCTAAGTGTAATATACGCGAAATGTATATCGTAAGTTACAAAGTTATAGAACAAATGTTAACAATTGTAATAAATGTGCAATGTTTTGTTAGAAAATATTTTCCACAAATTTTATATTTTAATAAAAATTTCAAAATTACCAAAAAAATGTGTATTTTTAAAAAAATTAAAAAAACTCCACAATTTTCAAAAAAAAAAAAAAAAATTCCAACTTTCAATTTTAAGTATTAATTAATATCCTTAACAAATTTTGTCGATTACGTTGCTTAAAATACTGAATATGTTAATAAATGTGACTGAATTGACATAATAATTAATTTCGACACTTTCTCTAATAATAAAAAGCTTCTAGAATTATTTATGCAGTAGACCATGGGATAAAAATGGATTTTTTGGGGACAAAAGTATGTATTTTTAATTGATATTTACTGTATCGTAATTGTCCGTTTAATTGACCGGGTAATATCAACTTAGACAAAAAAATGTTGGGTTAATGATTAAAAACCTTCCACGACCACTGCAGTAGACTAACCATCACTTGAACTACTAGTCGAAACTATATGCAAGTTGTCTAGTATTGAAAAACGGATTCTAATTAGCTTATTGTTGTCGAATAACTATGATAACTAATTTTACATTTCTTTAATTTAGCTATTTGATAATCTAAGTACCAAATGTAAATTATGTAATATACTTGGTGCATATTGCGGTTAAAAATGAAGAGTAAATTGTTTCAGGAGACATAGTTTACGGTCATATGTATGTCCCACACTCACTGAAATGATTTGACACGGACACGATTTTCTTTCAAAACAACTTATGAATGTTGTTCGCGCCGATCAAAGCAGGCGGTTATGCGAATAGAAAACAAAAAAATCATCAATCGATTTATTATAAAATTAAAACTCAAATCATTCAACACGGAATAAAACCATATTAAATTATTATAAATACGATGTAATTTATGTAATTAAAGTAAAATAAATATTACTAGTTACAAAATCAAAGTATTTACAATCGGTCCTTCGAAAAGCAAAATTCAATTCAACCTAAAAAACAAATGTATTTATTTAATGAATAATTATCAACCATGTTTAATGATATATGGCAATATAAAATGTATATTACACTTTCTTAGTTCCTAACTTGTGCATGGGTGTTCCTAATTGAGCCGAATTAAATGGAATCTTACGGACGCTTCGACGTCGTAATATTAAATTAGCGATTGTATTGAGAAATAGCATATTCAAATTATGAATTGTTATAAATCGTAATGTGATGTTATCATCATGTTGAATAGGCTGCGATATTCTGGGCTGACATACCGTTAAGTCGTTTTGTATTAACTTCCCGAAGAAGAAGTTTATGTTTTCATCAAAAAATCAATGTTTTCTCGACGTTTCAAGCCATTTTGAATCGAATGAGACCAAATTTGGAAAAAGTATGTGTGTGTATGTGAACAGATTTTTTGCCGTAAATCGACATTTTCTCAAAAACGGCTGGACCGATTTCAAAAATTTGAAAGCCATTCGATGTATCTCGATGAGGACTAATGTTCATCAATTTCGCGACGATCGGCCAAGCTGTTTCTTTATAAATCGCAGAAAAGTGAAAAAATTTTCGTCCACGTTTTAGCCCGCAATTCTGAATCGATTTCGAAACGATTCAAAAACCGTTCGAAAGATATTGGTTGGGAATCGTGCTGATTAGTTTTTGATAGAGATTGGCCGTGGCGTTTTCTTGTAATAAAGTATTAAAAAAAAATTCGACGATTTTTTTAATTTTTTTATGGTAGATTAGCCTTACGATAATTCATTTAACTTTAAAAATTCGGCAAAGTTTGCAAAAATTAGTATCGTTTTTTTGGCCTTTGTCAAAATTAGACCTTTCGTCGACGTTTGCTTAAAAATGCCTGAACCGATTTGGTCCGAGCCATTTCTCTGTAATTTGGAAAAAAAGTGTTAAACTTTTCGTTTAACCCTTCGTCGGTCGGAGTGATCTCGCCAGACTTTTTCAACTTTCGCCAGATTTCAATTTAAAAAAAAATACTTCTAGTAATCCTATCGACTTGAAATTTCTTGACTTTTCCTAAAATTTCATTAGCTGTCGATCAATGAAAAAGTCAGGACGAAAAAATGTACAGAAGGATAATTATAAGGATATTAACTTTTTTATACTTCGAATGGTCGAAGTGGTCTGTCTAGACCACCCATACATTTTGTATGAAATATACGCTTTTTGATATACGTCTGTTCAAAAAGTACCCGGAATTTTCGTTTTTTTCAAAAAAATATTTATTTATTCGTCTACATTAATGTGGTCCCCTTCAAAGTAGTCCCCCCCAGATATAATACACTTATGCCAGCGTTTTTTCCAATTTTCGAAGCACCCTTGATATTCACTTTTTGATATGTCCTTGAGCACTCTCAGCGATTTTCTTCAATCGAGGAAAACCGCCGTCCTTTCATGGGTCTCTTCAACTTTGGGAATAGGAAAAAGTCACACGGAGCCATATCTGGTGAATTTTTGCACTTTGCAACACTTAATTTCATTTTTTACGCAAAATTTAATACAAATTCTTTGACTTTTCAATTCTTCCATTGTAAAAATCGCCGAGCTCAGAAAAACACGTCGAACCTTAGCGACTACCACAGACAAAGTAAACAGTGAATATAGCTGAAAATTTCATCATACTTTAGGGGCATGTATACCAACACAATAAAAAAAAAATTTGACAATCAGACACTCCAGACCCGCGAAATTTAATTATTAGTAATTCCGGGTACTTTTTGAACACACCTCGTATGTAAACCAGTATTTTGTCTTTTTTCTGGTATTTTCTATTCAAGTTACGTTTTGTATTTTCTTTGCTATGTGTTGTAACATGAATGTTAGTATTTTCACAATGAGAGTTGTTGGAAAACCTACAAAACTTATTGGTCATCGCAAACATTGAACATCGGATGAGTAGGGTAGGGCGGGGCTAGTTGAGCAACCTTTTACTTAAACGGATGTAGCTCCTCAATGAAAAGTCTCAATAAATTTCTGTACGGCTTAATGGATTTATTGTTTATCGCTTAACAAAAGTGTTAATACTAATTTTTGGTAACAAGTAAAATTTAAAAGCTACAGCTGTTTAAATGCAAAAAGTCAAGTATGCTCAATGTACCCCATAGGTGGGGCAAGTTGAGCACTAAGAAATTATAATGAAATCATAAGTTCAATGTCGATTAGTGATGAAATAAAATAAGTTTTTAATAACCAGTTCTATATTTATAGTCTTTATTGACAGAGAAAACAAAATTTATAGTAATTTTCTTTGAATAATTAACCAAAAGTAGAATCAACAAAACAATATCGTATCTTAGGAATTATTTTACCATTATATTCAGTACTTTTGCTTAAAATCATTATTTCTTTATATTATTACTCATAGACTTAGCTTAAATCTTAAAAATAATAATTAATTTCTGGAAGTTAATGGTAATTGTCTTAGTGACAGAACAAGTTTAGCAACTATGCTCAACTGACCCCAACTCGGAATTTCAAAATAAAAGTGAGTTTATAAAAAAAAACGTGAGAATTATACCCAGAATCTCTGTGCATATTAAAAGTACTATAATTATATGGAAGAATAACATTTACCTGATTAAAAATAAATAACATTTGACTAAATCAAACGAAAACTCGTGATGAATGACTTTTTTACTTTCTGGTCTCAAAATAAACAAAACGCCCGTGAGCCTCACTCATTTGTCCAGCGGCCACTAGCGATCGCGGGATGTTTATTTCTCCCAAACCTCTTTCTTTCCGCCATATAATGCTTAAATGGACGGTGAATAGTTTTCGAGATATTTCGATTGCTCAACTTGCCCCTATGCTCAACTAGCCCCGCCCTACCCTAGTGCGCACATTATCATAAATTTTTCTACCCGTACTGCGTTTGAAATTTTGAACTTGAATTTTATAGCTCATTTCAAAGGCGACGCACATCATTTCGTTTTCATTTGAATTTCACATTCATTTCGAAGGAGCCGAAAAAGAATAAATATTGTTTTTCATTGATATAAAACAGAAATATTACAAAAAAAGCAACGATTTTTTTATATTCCTTGATTTTTTTTATATAATATATTATATTATATTAAATATAATATATAATATTTTTATTATAAATATTCACTACTAATAATCGTTAATATAGAAGACACCAAAAACTCATTTACCCCATAAAAGAGCATGTAAAATGAATGGTGGTCCAGCCAGACCACTCCGACCGTTCGAAGGTGAATAAATATCCGACCGACGGAGGGTTAACATCATAATAATTTTACATAATATGCTCTATTCCCAGCTTTATAGCTAAATTAGACTACCTTTGATATCATTTGTACCTACTTAAAAAAATATTTATATTTGCTACTCACTTATTGGAAATGTCTTCCAGTGGTAGAGAAACTGCTCGGCAACTACCCTGATATTATTAACCAACTCCTCTACGTCAGGCGGCGCTCCGACTAAATTTATAGCAAAAGCCACAGGTTCCCGTTCAGGTTTCGCAGTTCTGGCATCCACTGGCGCAACAAGACTATTTGGTCGAGCAGATCGCGTAAGGTTTCCCGCCCCTGAGGACGGGCCCGAAGAGGACTCGGTAGGTGGCATCCAGATCAGTATCAGATGAAAATCCGGCCTTTGAAAATAAAAAAAACGATAATTTTTAATATAGTATATAAAGAAAAATATAAAGATTATATCAAGAACGAGCACATATCACATTGTCATAAATTTTTATAGTAAAAGTATCATAACACAATATACTCTATATCGCCGTAATTCCGTGACAGAGAACGTGTCAAGTAATTACAGTTATATATTTAAAAAGACAATTGATACCAAAAATCTGAGTTAAATAGTTACTGTGGGTCAACAGTTAGAGTTATTTAGGTGCTAATTTAACTAGTTTAAATGACAATTCATTTTGGAGAAATTTTTCAGAATACATTTTATAGTAAATTTACCAGAGTTTTGCAGAAAAGAAGAAAACAATTCGCTACAAAGGCTCCTTTATTAAAAATAATGTATTATTTTGCAATTATTTAAAATATTTTCATGAAACAGATAATTAAGCTATACTAATAGTTATAAAACTCACTTGTTGGAGAACTTATAACTCATTCAGATATCAAAAAAACATTTCTTTTTCATTTCCCAGAATTAAATTGTAAATTAAAGAATAATGACAATTCTTCTAAAACTATCTCTTTAATTGGGATAAGATCCTCAGTATTTATTACCCCGCTTAACGCTGCTTCATTTTAGAACTATTATTTCAAAATATTCTCACAAATATGAAGAGGAATTATAGACCCATTAATTAAAAATTGTAAACTTTTTGACAGAAAATAGATGTTATAGATGCTTTATCCACTTAACAATTTCTAAAAGATCGCAGAAAAAAATGATTGGTTTTAGATTATCATTTGTTTCCCCCGCTACATATATTATATATAAATATATATATATATATATAATGACATCAATAATTATTAAAAAGAAATATATATATATATATATATATATATATATATATCAACAAATAATTATTTTGTACATTTAGAACCATAAATATTTGACAAAATACATCAGCTTACAAACTAATATAATACATATAATACGAATCATATAGGAAATAAAAAGAAAATAAACAGAGAAGCAAGCTATCAGAAATTATAATGTGAAGAGCTTAAATAAGCATGATTAACAAATATAAACTCGAACCCAAATTACAAAGTAAGTAAGTCATCTGTCAATGAATATATGAAAATTTAAGTAGATTTAATTCAATAAGACAAAACAAGAAATATTCGAGAAGTAAAATATACAAAAGTAAGAGAATATGAGAAATATGATGCTCGTCTAAACATGCCAGATGCTCAATGGTGCTCCATTATTATTTTGTATTATTATTATCAACAAAAAAATAATTTCCTTTTATTAACCATAAGCAGATGTTTTGAAATATGTGGAGGAGATAGAAGTGGAGAAGATAGAAATCCATGACATGAGCTGATATTAAGAATGCAGTCTGTAATATCCTAATGTGTGGGTTAAATTTAGAAAAAATACCAAATATCTGAAAGAATAAAAAATGTATAAGAATATAACACACTTGACAAAAAAACTAAGTATACAACAAATTAGGCCTATAATAAAATAGTGTAAGTCAATAATCATTATTTATAATAAAAACACTTGTTTTATTAAAAAAAAAAACATAAATATTATCTAAAACATCAACAATAATATGAATTGTTGTTTCCCGTTTTCTTTTTGGTATTACACTAAATTAGCAATTATTAAAGAACCCTAGGCTTTACATTGATACACAAAATTAAATACTTACAATGAATTATGAATAGCATGTTACTTTTACACTAAACTTGTAAATAAACACTAAACTAGATCACTAAACTATTTGTGACACTTAACACATGAAAAAAACTTATTACACCCATGTACAAATTATGAGAAACGACATCATAATAAAACCCGATCATTCTAATTTACGCTTTCCGATCATCTATTATTGTTTATAGAAATACTAAAGTAGAACACAGTAATACCAAATGTACGCTTTGGACAATTTATTGAATTTTGACAGAACGAACGTTTCAACCAGGGGGTATTCACTTTAGTTTAATATATCATGACATATCCTTAAATTTAGGGACAGCCGAAGGTGTACCATCTTGGCCGACGTTATCCCTTCTGTCAATTGGTAACGGTTGTGATCCAAGATGAAAGCTACTTATTATTGTTCGCCACCTTCGCTTCCCCACATTTACTTCTGGTGAGTATACGCATTATGGGATGGCGCTCCATGCATTTTTTTTTTTTTTGAACAATTAACGTTACGCTGAAATAAAAATTGCATCCGGTCAGTAAATTGTAACCGATAATAAATATTAAACGCGAATTGAGATTTTTTTCCCAGTCAAAGTGTCAAAATAACTAGTGGTGTATGGCATCGTGCCTTAAAGCAAATTGCTGGAACTTTCCGTACCAAAAGTTTTTTTTTTTTTAAAAAAAAAGATTAATTTTTTTTATTCTGAAAAAATTTGATTTCTGAGAAATTTTAAATTTTTGAAAAAAATTTACTATTTTGAAATATTTTAGAAATTTTGAACTTTTTCCAAAGCAATCGCACTTTAGCTGAATAAAGACGAAATACCGAAGCGCCGCGTCGCCGTCTAACGGATAAACGATGTTACGGAACCATAGAAATGTAAACAAAATTTATACACATTATTAAAATCTCTATAAAATATATGATATTTTGATGCGTATATGTCTGCGTATTTTTGACCGCCAAATGGCATTTTTTTTTACTTTGTTTACTAGATCTCCGAAACCGCTAGACCTGCCTTCCCAAAAATTTAATCAGTTCTTCACGTTGTCAGTACAAGAAAAATCTTCCGTTCTCTTAAAAACTGAGGTACCGTTTTTGGCACTTTTTGCCGCGCATCTTCGGAACCGCTAAATTTGCCTTTGCCAAAAACTAATCAACAGGTTTCCTTATCAATACGAATCGAATGTTTTTTGAATTAATCAAATCGGTTGATCGGTGTTCCCGAAATCGTCGACAAAAATTTGTATCCGCATACACACACACGCACACACATACATCCATTTTTTCTAAAGTATTCCAAAATATTCAGAAGGTTTTGAAACGTAAAGGTATATAAAAATTTTCATTTTCGATTTTTTTTCGATTACTGTAACTTACCCTACTGGAAGTTGAAAAGATGATAATTTCCTGGACTTGTTCCATTCAGCAAGTTCATACCATGTGGATACAAAAAAATAAACATTGTCAAAAAGTACAAGAACGAACACAAAAGATTTTGTGAAACAATATGACAAATGACAATGATAATTTTATATGTTTAGTCTATATTTTAACTTTCTTTCAAAATTTCGTTCATTATTTTAAAAGCAATAAAATTAGTACTTACCAGTTTATAATTTTTGTAAGGACAACACAAAATGTTAACTTATTTTAGTATATTAGTACGAAATAATTATATACAACCATTTCTAATAATAAACACTCTTATAAAAATAAAACTAGGAACAAAATGCATTTCGTATAAACTTATTTGAAATCTTTAAATTATTACTGCTGGCTCAAAGCAACAATTCAAAGGCTGTTCAATATAGTTTTTGCCGTTAAACACGAATCTAAACTCAAAATTGAGTGTCTAATGGCCAAAATTGGAAGAAAATTTAAAAAAAACGACAAATATTCTGATCTAGTAATTTTTCTGCATAATAATTAAAATCTAAGTTGTTTTCTGGCCTTTTTCACCTTCGATGACTATTGAGTTTCAATTACATGATCTAATACATTTTTTTGTATAATTCAGCAGTAATTTGCATATTAATATACAAAATAATAATATATTAATATATCATTTAAATTCTTAATAGTCATTTAAGGTAAAAAGGGTTAGGAACCGACAAAAATTATAGGATTTTAAGTATCATGCAGAAGAATTACTAGATCGGAGATTTTGTCATTCTTTAATGTTTGTTCAATTTTTTGCATCCAAATCTATAAAAGTTGAAACATATTTTTCATTGGTAGTATGTAATTATCATTTTACATACTGTCATTTCTTACAGGAAATAGATGCATTTCTGCAGTTTTATTGGTATTTCTTCATTTCGTCATGATGTTTTTATAACTCATATAACACTAATCATTTAAGCACAACTGAACCCAAATGTCATTTGTGATTTTTCTGTATGAATTTTCAATCCAACACGTTTCAAAAGAGCGAACCCAAATGTCATTTGTGATTTTTCTGTATGAATTTTCAATTTAACACGTTTCAAAAGAGCGACTATTACATGACAAGAGCACAAAATATAAACACAGTTATCTTCGTCTGTTCGGAGAATACCTGCCATTGTAGTTTGATATATTTTTTAGCAAAATAATTCAAACAAAATTTATTTTTTATAGAGAATAATTACAAAATAAATAAAAGCAACAACCAGATACACATATGCTTTGAAGACAGACAGCATTCAATCAATTTTGTTTGATAATAGACACTATTTAAATATAAGAATTATTTTATAAGGTAGACGTTAGTATTTCACTGTCAATATTTAGATTATATTTAATTGTAGTTTTAATTTATTTCTGTTTAAGTATAAAAATCTATAGATTAAAACTTACGATAATTTATATAATTTTTAATTGACTATTTGTATAATAGACAATACAAAGTATCAAATATATATGATAATATTAATTAGCATGATCTATAGTGCTCAGATCTTTTCTTAATGGTATCAAATTGAGTGTTTATTACCACTAGAAGATCATTTATTTTTATTTTATAATGTTCCATCATACTAGTATTATTCATGTTTGCAGCATCCATGTCTAAAATAAAAAAATCATTATAAGTTGTAATCAAAATATGCTATATAAAAATTATTATAATTGTAATCAAAATAGTAAATAGAGTAAAAAATAGTATATAAAGTATTGGTCATATAAAAATGCTAAATATAAATACACATAATACAATACTAAATTTAACCAGGGTAATAAAACTACATATTTGTTTTTAATTGAATATTTCAAGACGAAACTATTATAATTGACATTCATTATAAAGAAAGGTTTCTGCACTTGTTTGTTTATGGTTTTATATCTTATTTAGTAAAGATACTTACTTTGTAAAGATTGCAAATGGTTTTTAGTTGCAATTGTAAGATTATCAGCTCTCTGTAATAAATTATTTGCTTTTTTCTGTGTTTCAGATGATTCCTTCTGTTTTTTTCTTAACAACTCTTCAGCATCTTGGTGCTTATTTCTTAGCTAGAATTTTTAAGGAGTCATATATATATATATATATATATATATATATATATATATAAATATTTATATGCAAACATATTGTTCATCAAATTGTATGACATTCTCTGATGAACATCAACAACTCACTTAACATACAAAATATAAGCACATAATCATGCATAATTAACCCTTACAAGAATAAAATTTGCACAACAGAATCCCAATTCAAATGGATCATAATTTTTTTCTAAAAAGATAAGATAATTTATAGCAAAAAATTTATACCTAACATCTTAAAATAGACAAAAAACCTTTGCAGGTTAACATTTTGTAATTAGAAGAAAAAACACTAC